AGTAGTAGTAGTAGTAGTAGTAGTAGCCGCAGCAGCAGCAGGTTATCTAACTTCCACAGCTCATCCAACTTCTGAGTCACTTCAGGAAGCAAATGAACATTCATACAAAAGTACATATTTAATCTTTCGCCAAATCTTTCGCCAAAAAAAATATATTACTTTCGCCAACTCGAGAAAAAACATTCGCCCAATGAGATTTTGATATGGGAGTTGATCTAAAGTCCTTTATCCGGGATCCGTCATTTTCGCCAAAAAAAATTACTTTCGCCAAACTTTCGCCTTCCTGCGTTTTATCTTTCGCCGAAGTACGTTGTATTTATGTGTGCCATGTATGTTGTGTTTTGTTCACGTCAATGGCTTCTTCTTTACTGGCAAACACAAAATAGAAACTTCACTGTTTGTCAGCATGTGTCTTCTACTTAACTGGTGACACCCTGTACGTCTCTTTTGTTTCTCTTGGGTGTCAGCAAGAATCAAAATTGCAAGAATCACTGTAGTAGCCGGTCACTCAAACTTACTCATAATGGGCTGGGGGTCAGATGTGCCAGGGTGAACTTTCGCCAATCTTGAGCTCAACTTTCGCCAAACTTTCGCCTTTTGCGGGGTAGAGTTTTGTGGCAAAGCCACCCCCCAAAGCAGGAGCAGGAATAGTAGTACGAATAGTAGAAGTAGTAGTAGTAGTACTACTACTACTAGTACTAGTAGTAGTGGTAGTAGTAGTAGTATAGTAGTATTAGTAGTAGTAGTAGTAGTAGTAGTAGTAGTAATAGTAGTAGTATTAGTAGTAGTAGTAGTAGTAGTAGTACTAGTACTGGTAGTAGTAGTAGTAGTAGTAGTATAGTAGTAGTAGTAGTAGTAAAGTAGTAGTAGTAGTAGTAGTAGTAGTAGTAGTAGTAGCAGCAGCAGCAGCAGGAGTAGTAGTAGTAGTAGTAGTAGTACTAGTACTAGTACTAGTACTACTAGTACTACTAGTAGTAGTAGTAGTAGTAGTAGTAGTAGTAGTAGTAGTAGTAGTGGTAGTGGTAGTGGTAGTGGTAGTGGTAGTGGTAGGTGTAGGTGTAGTGGTAGTGGTAGTGGTAGTGGTAGTGGTAGTGGTAGTCGTAGTAGTAGTAGTAGTAGTAGTAGTAGTAGTAGTGGCAGCCGCAGCAGAAGCAGGTTATCTAACTTCCACAGCTCATCTAGCTTCTGAGTCACTGCCACCAGCTGTTCAGAAAGCAAATGAACATTCATACAAAAGTACATATTTAATCTTTCGCCAGATCTTTTGCCAAAAAAGTTTACTTTCGCCAACTCGAGAAAAAACTTTCGCCAAATGAGATTTTGATATGTTCCGGGTCATCGTCATACACTCTGCTGACTAGGACCTTTAGATCGACAACCATATGTTCCGGGTCATCGTCACACACAATGCTGTCTAGGACCTTTAGATCGACAACCATATATATTACTGTATTATATATTATATATGGCTCGTAGATGTTGATGGTTCATCCCAAATGAGTGGTAGGGCCCAGACAGTGTCTTTTTTTTAATCTGTATCTGAATCTGCAGTCCTACCGTACTACCGTATCATCCCCTGCCTCATGTTGTGGCACAATGTGTGGTTCTGAATACCAGACCATCTGCTTTCTTTGCAGGTGCAATCGGGAGGATCTCGTCTCTTCCATGGCCAACCCGACGTTCGGCCAGGTGTCCCGGCTCATGGCCCCTGCTTGTTCGTGTTCGAGCCAGGCCGAAACGAGGGGAAGAGACGGTGAACGCGACATGGCGATATGGTGCCCTTTAAGCCCTGTCGAAGCCTCCTTGGACAACGTGTCTTCGCTCATCCAAGACGACTGCTACCAATGTACCCCTTAATTTTACTGGACCCAAACAGACTTTCTGGGCAGTGCATCTGAAAGTTCAAATGCTGGTTGTGAGTAAAGACCAAGAACCGAAGAATCTACGGGGGAATGTACACCTACTTTATTTCAATCATTCATCGCATGGTTTCTAAGAACAGTACCGAAAGGAGTCTGGGATCATGTTCCTTGCTCCTCTGAATCAGCCTTAAACCTATTATATAAACAAGTCCAAGGTCTGACTTTCCACCCAACCAAACCGCCACTGAACACCTCGTGAACACGAAAATGCACCTCACCGTGACCCCCCATGTTCCTCCCAAACAAAAAGGCCGTGAATGAAGCACGCGCCGTCCCCTTTTCCGCGAAAGGACTGATTCAAATTGCATCTTTGATGTGTGGGTCAATTGGCCTGGACTCAAAAGCCTGAAGAAACCGGTCTTCCAATCCATGGATTTGTTATTTGCAATGTCTTTTTCTGAATGGGGCATGGTCAGGTTCGCCGATTGGACCCCAAACAACCAGGAAAAAGCGGGAGTCAGGGGTTCCCCCCCATGCACGAAAAAACACTAATTGGTTTTGGGTCTTCAGAGTAGAGTTCACAACTCTCAAGTTGAAATCCTGGTGTTGACAGGTTTTTGCGGGTTCGAACGGTTAGATGATTGACCATTTTTGTTGACCCACGCGTGTACACGTGTTCTGTCCCAAAAGGCCGCCGTGTTCGGAGTCGGGAGGCGACTTTAGCCTTTCACGTTTTGAGAGACGTCGCGCTTCCGCTCCGGTGACCCACGGTGAGGTCTGCGCTTCGGCGTTGATGGGCGGGCGGTGACGGTGGAGCCGAACTGCTAATATCGCGGCAGTCGGGTTCAGATCCGGAACAAAGGGGGAAGGGCGACATATTAGCAGTTTGGATGAGCTTGAATCAATCGATTCTTGGGCAGATCTAAGTTGCTCAATCAAAAGCATCAAAAGTAAAAGACTTGTGTTCTTGCGCTGATCCATCCACTTCCCCCCCTAGTCTTACATCAACAGCTGTTGGGGCATGCGAGAAAGTGGCAAATCGGGACCACGTCCCAGAAAGGCCAACGGGCCATGCATTCAAAGGATTCTGTGAACAGAAGTGGAGCAAACCACAGCAGATTTGCCACAGTCCCAGATCATTCAGGACAACCCCGGAGGAGGAGAAGACTTGAAAAATCAAACAAAGCGTTTGACAAAAGCAGCATGTCTTGGCCACTCCGAATGGGGTCTTCCCCTCCTGCTAAGTGGAAATGGGGTGTTCCAGATAAAAGTTTCCAGAGTCGAACGAGATTCCTGCCAACCTGAGCACGAAAATGCATCGGGATGTCAATGCGCTGCTATACCTGAGTCGGCGAATCAAATGCGTCAAAACAAAACAGAGCATCCAAGCCACTCAACCTCTAAGTACCTTGAATGTCAAAAAATTCTCGTCAGATTTCAGGTCTTGCACGTCTTACTTGGATATATACCCTCTCCCAGCTGGCATTCCTTCCTGACCTGTCCTTGTTGCCTAGGTACAGCCATCTCTCCACTTCCCAAGCGACCTCGGTCCCCGGCAGGTGGCCCTCCCTCGAGGAAAAAGGGCGATCACAGCTGTCGCCTCATCGGTGCGGAGTACCTGGCGGAGGAGCGGAGGTCCAGGACCGGGAAGTTCCCGCAATGGGAGGGTTTTCATGATGGTTTTCATGGAGGTTTAATAGCCAGCTGGATGAAGCCCATGTTGGAGCCGTTTTATTTTGCATGATGGTGTTCATGGTTTTGCAGCTGTTTTCCAAACCAGTGGAGGTTGATACATAGCCAGTGGCTACAGCTTGTATGGATGGTTTAATAGGACCAGCTGTTTCCTTTTGAGACGTTGACGGTGGACATCGCTGTGCTTCTGTCTATTGTGAAGACAACTGGAGATTAGGAAGCATTTAGGAAGCGTTGTGGACTCGAAGGCAGCTGCACCAAGGGTTGTGGCGTTTGCGGCGTTTGCGGCGCACCAGAACTGCTGTGCCAGTACCTGTTCGACCAAGGTCATATTCTCTTCAAGCCTGCTAAAGGCTGCATGACACCTGCAGGGCCGGCGAAGCCGGCGTGTTCGGCCCTTGGGTCATCGCCTCTCTTGCCTATCCCAGATCTGCGAGCTCCAAGCATGAAAAGGATCATCGATACAAATTAAACATGCAGAAAACCGTATACAGTGAAACTTAAATATCCATATAAGTATATATAGTAGTTATTTCATGTTACTTCCCTTCATCGCAACGGAAAAGATCCTTCCATCTTCTGAAGGAACATGTCCCATCACCAAATTCCTCCCCTATTCCTCCCCCAAATCGAAAAAACCGACGGCTCGTCCGATCTCGTCCGCCTCTTCTCCAAGTCCGCTAAGTCGACGTCCAAGTCGAACTCTTCGGGGAGCCCCGCCTCACCGGAGGACGAGACGAAGACGGACTGATCTCAGTTTTTTGTCGGCAACGCGTGGCTTTCGTAGCACGAGAATGTCGGCAATCTAAGACTTCTCAAGTTTGACGCCTAAGACTAAGACATTCTAAGATGCCACGGTTTCACGAAATTACTGAGAGGCCTGGCTCTTGCGAAGGGATTCGGATTAAAACACTGGGAAAAGACCTCCAACCTATT